ACATTTTGATAAGAAAAATATTCGATTAGTTTTATTCTTATGATTTATATAAAGAAATATAATTTGATAGGGAAAATATTGTCAATATGTCAGCATCGTCTACTTTTTTTTTTTATGTAAACAGAATAGTGTGTGTATGAAAATTTGTTGTTTTTTGAAAAAAAAAATCTATTTTCGAATGTTAAAATATATAAATAGCTTTATTTCAGGCACTTATATATTAGTAGAGTCATCTACCAAACGTGGAAAAAATGTGTTTTTGAAATATTTCTATCACCGAACAACAACAAAGCATTATTGTTTATAGTGATGTATCGAACATGAAATAAGCTATTTATTAGCAGAGTGAAGTGAAAACTTGATTTAATATTTGTTTAACAGAATACCAGTCTATTTTAATGATATTGAAAGTTATATGGTTGTCTTGCTTCAAAATAGTGCCTTCTAGTCATGTCATAATAAAGTACTTGTAAAAGAAGTCGATAAGAATCGAAATAATATGAATTCCTGAAAATATCACGCAAAAAAGTATGCTTAGTTTTTTCATTGAACTTTTTGACTCTATAAGACTTTTTGGTATGAAAAAAATCATTTATATAATTTAGTGCAATTTGTAATGCTACATCAAATAGAACTTTTTAAAGTCGAAGAAAAATTATAATGCTATCAAAATCAACAGATACCTCGGAGGAAGCCCTGAAGATTACTTTTAACTTTAAGAAAAGGCTATTTTTCTAAGATCTAAAGTATAGCTATAAACCAATGACAAAAATAGATGAGATGTAAATATTATTTGTATAAAATATATTCGAGGAAAAAAATATGAAAGGTCAAGTCAACACTATCGATTTATGAAAAGGCACTAGAATAATGATGCAAATAAATTTCAATCATATTATACTGGTGATTACGATATTTCTTAAGGAGAAACGTATATTTAATATTGTTCTGGAGAGAATTTCCAGTGATCATACTATAGTATTACTCTTAATAAATCATTTCTAATAATAATTGGTCGAAATTGAATTTTATAATGCGTCCTATTCTGTTGTTTTGCTTAATTAAATCATTTATACTATTGGTTTATTTATAGTAGTGAAACTTCAAAGTCTATTGGAGATTCTAATCTATTAAGGTTGTCATAGGAGGTAACAATATCATATAAAAATTGAAAAGGAATCTTCTTGTTAGGAAATAAATAGGTACTCATTTAGACTTATGAACAATCAATAAGTAATAAAACTGTCATTATCTATTTTCTCGTTTCAAAAATTATATTTCTTTCAAGCAGGAACCATCAGTATCCAAAAGAAAGAGTTGAATATCGACAAATATTGATTAGAGTATTGCTTATCTATTGATGATGAGATAAACTCAGAATCATCCTTGCTTTGCTACATGTACAAATCTAATATTGTAAAGAATGACGCATCTTTGATGAATATAAAAATAAATATTCGTCGTGCATGATAACGTGTATCGATTCTGTTCTTCGATTAATGACGACACATAAGCATTTTTTTCATGGTCATATAAATATAGTTTCATGACTTACGAATGCACAAAAGTATTTTTTTTAAATGAGTAATTCTATTGCGATTGATACGTGTATAAATATAGAATAAATAACTATAATATCATAAGTATTCACATACTATTTAGTAACTAATCTGCTAATAGTTATTGTACACTCAACAGTTAAGCATGGTCATTATTATCAAATCATTGTATTGCATCATTCTATTGGCACTAGTGCTGACAACCTGTACGACAAGAGCAGTATTACAAGTGGAAGAAAATTACAGTGCTAACATGAATCGTCATTTTAGCCTACGTGAAATCGTGAAAGCCTACATTGCGAAACGTACTTTGAATAATTCATTGACCATGTGATCTTCAATCATATGAGCAACATAAAATCTTTGCTTTCAAGTGACCAAAATATTTTTATAAAGCTCTCCTTCTTTGAAGAATTCTTGTGCTATGTGATCTTTGATCATATTATCAACTCTAAATATTCTCTTTGTAGTAGACAAACTGTTCGAATAAAATTTTGTTTTAAAATCTTCATTCAGCACGTGACCTTTGACAGACTCATTGAATCTAAAGTTTTCTTTCGCAGCTACCAACATATTTGAATAAAGCCTTCCTTTGAAATAATCATTTTCTATGTGATCTTCAATAAATTACTAACTTCAAACAATTGTTTCCGAGTGAACTGAATATTTCAATAAAAATTTGTTATGCAGTATTCATTCTCAATGTGATCTGTGGTCAAGTTGCCAGTTGTAAATCTTTGCATCGAAATCATCATAGTATATGTATAAAGCCTTCCTCCTCCTTTGAAATGTTCATTTCATAGATGATCTTCAGTCATACTAGCGACTCTAAATATTTGCTTCGAAATGATCAAAATATTTGAATAATACATTCGTTTGAAGTATCCATTTGACATGTGATAGTTGATCACTTTACCAACACTGAATGCTAGTTTGACAATGAGAAAAATCTTTGAAAAAGGCATTCAGGATATAAAGTATTTATTTGGCATGTGATCATCTACCGTACCACAGAATCGAAATATTTCTTTGGAAGTGATCAACATATTTATATGAAACTTTCCTGTTTTAAAATAGTCATTCATTATGTAATCTTGGACTAACTATTAAATGGTAAGTTTTCTGTCAAAGATGCTAAAATAGTTGTATAAAGCCTTCCTGTTGCGAAATATTCGTTAGTCACATAAACTTCGCTCATAGTATTACTTCCAAATCATTTTTTGTGAAAAGACAAAAAAATATCTGAATAAAATCTCCTTTGCAACTGTTTATTTAGCATATGATATTCGATCCTACTATTAAATCTAAACATTTCCTTTAAAGTGATCCCAAAATTTGAATATTACATTGGTTGAAAAGTTTCATTTGATAGATCATCTTCGATCAAACTGTTAGCTCTACATCTTCGATTCAAAATGATCAAAATATTTGAATAAACTCTTAATATTTTGAAGTATTCATTTAGTACGTAATCGTTGACCATTCACCTATCTCTAATCTTTTCTTTGAAGCAAGAAAAATATTCGAATGAACCAATTTTTCCAAATATTCATTTATCTGGTTACCTTTGATCGTGTTAAGAAGTACATTAAGCATTTTCAGCAGAACGAAACATGTGAATAGAGCGATCATAATAAATACAAGAGGTAAATTTATTTTTTCAGCATTGTTTTGTCTTCAATTAATCGACTATTTTGCTTCATTCTAGAAAATATCATTTAATCAAGCTCAATATCTCATTCGAAATCATCTATGTTGTAGAATAGACATTCTTCATTAAGATTTTTCTTTTAATGTTTGTTTTGATTATGCAGTTCTAATAAAGTTTGATCTGTACCGAGAGTGTGTGTGCGAGTGAGAATGCAGAAGTGAATGCATATGATTGTTTTGTGTCCTAATGCTTACATTCACATTTGAGTTTGACTTCGTAGTTTATTATTTTAAAATTTCAGTATTGTTCAATGATTTCGAAAAGATTATTAGTGAAATAATCGAATTCTATTTGTATGTGACTTTTTGATAAGAACATTTAAAATTGATGATGATATTAAATAAGGCAGAACTACTTTTGACCTAAGTCTTTGTTATGTATGTAATTAGAAAAGACTGAGGACGTCAATCTTCTTAGCTTTTGTAGCGTCTCAATATTGATCAACATGGCTGTGTATAGAAAAAAATAACTCTTTTCACTTTCATTAATAAAAAAAAAGATTTTCGTCAAATTTAGTGCGTGGATAAGTGAAGAAGATCACACTCATACTTACACATACATCAATGCAAACAAAACCAACTAATTCTAACGTTTTTTTTTTCATTATCATGAATTATTAATCGATTCAACTTATATTGCAATGAAATATCTATTTAAACTTAAGGTTCTTTTCCACATCAAATGTTAATTATGGGAAAGGATAAATTCTTCAAAATCTATCTTTCTAACAAAAAGCTCATGGGAAAAAGAAACGTTTTCACATTTTCTTGGTTCAGTCGTCTTTTGTTTCAGTAATCAAGATTTTTTACTTTATTATAAAAACAGGTATCAAATAAATCGTCTTCATTTCGTCATTATTCGCCAGAAGGTAATCGAAAACACATATTTCACAAAATGAAATAAGTTTCTATTCTATCCAATTAAAATGACATAGATTGTGTTTTCGCATGTGTCAAACAATGTTTAGTATTCTTCTCGATCAATCAGACAAAAATGGTCCATCTATCTTCACGTTTAATTTTCTGGTGAATTCTAATATTTATTGAACGTATGAAAAGAAACAGTAACAATCAACACTAAACATTTTGTTCATCAATGATCTATTTGATACTGCTTAACAAAAATTTATCGATCTATTTGAATTGTTTAAATAAATTATTATTAGATGCCGGAAATGCAATATTAAAGCACAATCTTTTTTCTTTTATAAATAGTTAGTTTTCCAATGACTTACTTGTTCTGAAAAGTAAGTCAATTTTTTTTTTCTACTTGTTAAATATTCAATACTTTCTATTTCAGATTCAACATGAACAAAATGAATCTGAAATAAAAGATTGACAATTCTCGATTACCAAATATTGATCGACTTGTTAGAAAAAATAGGTTGTCGGAAAAAACTGAAATTTTCTCCGTAAAAACTCATTCTGAAAACATGAAAACACATATATTCTTGATCAATTCGTTACGCTCTCTCTAACAATATATAAAAGAAGGACAAAATTGTGCATTAATGTTGCATCTCCGACACCATATATATTTCTGTATTATATTTGAGTAGATCGATTCCAAGTACTAAAAATATATGGTTGGTGTTGCGAAAGTAATTTGTGTCATTATCTTTGATAGTCGTCAGCATTATCCATTAGATATGACCTTCTGTAATAATCTTGGTTTTGAGAAAAATATACGTCCAAAAATAAATAAAGAATATCATTTGTACTTATCTTTAATTAAAGAACGAAATTTTTTATAGGTAATGCTGTATGATAGCGATCATTCAACCATATACTTTTTATACTCGGGCCATCATCTAAATCCTTAAGAACAATATATCTTGATGGTCTACGAGAAAGGTTCTGGGATAATTTGTGAACTTCTAAGTATAGAACACAAAGATTTTGATCCTATTAGCTGTGTTAATTTATTATTATTGACTTTGTAGTACCGAAACTAATTCCGACGTCTTTTAAAAAACCGGTAAGATTAAAAACTGGCGAATAGAATCATTGATGATTGAGATTTAAAAGCCGAAATTAATAACTTTTACAGCAGATGTAAGTTCAAGTGACACATGCATGTTGTCACAAAAAGCGATAGGAACGTCACCATTTATAGTCCTGGTGTTGTTCTTTTGATCGGGCAGAAATTTGATTGTGAATACTGCTTGCGTAGCATTCTTATGGTACGGTCTATCGGCAAATAAGAATGTCGACTTCGGATATATTTCTAAAACATAAAATAAATAAACACTATATGGAACACTTGTACTTTTCTCATCATACATTGTAAAAGATCTATGATTGATTTCGAAATAAAAAATACGGACTTGTTAGAATTTTATTTGTAAACTTGTATTCCCAAAACCTTTGATACTTATTTCTAATAAAAAACTTGTCAGCATTGTTTCAAATTGGACCAAAAATGCGGAACTCATGTTAGAACTCGGTGCAAACAAAGCAGAAAAGAACAAATTTTGAATTGCGAGATATCGTTTAGATTTTTGAACGAAATATTTATTTATTTTCATAATTATTCATTTAGAGAAATAATTCTTTAGAAAAGGAACGATATCTGTAATGAGAGCTTTCTATAGGGAGAAAATGTCTGTAAAACGGAGCAGAGTATTGTCACATAATATCGTACATTTTAAAGTGAATCTGACAAAATGAAATACAATCTATACAAATCGTGTGTTTAAACTTCAAGTCATGTTCTTTCTCAATCTTCCAAGTAATCTGTAACTGTCGATATGCGTATTTGCACCCAGATATGCATATATATAGTTTCTTAACAGTATGGACATTTTTACAAATATTCTTGAAGAATAGCAACTTTCTTCTTTCTTTTACAATAGTTTACTCTAAGATAAGAACCTGCACCTTTTCAAAGGGAGCTCTTTAACCTTCGTCTTTGTCTACATTGTGACTAATGGCAAACAGAAAAAAAGTTATGTCAAATGAAATAATCAAAGAAACCTATTTTCATTCTTTGCAAAGTCGACAAACTCGTTGAATGGCTTCTTTCTGAATCAAAGGACCCTTCAACGATTTTTTCCAATGTTCAAAATACGGGAAAAACAATACTTTGTTTGATTTACTTATTTCAATCTCCGTTTCGTTCTCTATCCTACAGGATTTCATTACACTGTAGCAGAAGAAAATAATAGTTTTCATATCCTGCCATTGAATCATGGTTGCGATAGCATGATTATGGTATGCTTCCAATCGTATGAATCGATCGAGTTCAAATCTGGAAAGTGAAAATTGAAATCTTCGCTTATTCATATGTGTATCATGGTAGTCCTGTTACATACTACTTTCATTGAATTCTGAATTATAGTAGATAATTTATACTTTCTAAAATATTGAATAATACTAAACGACTTGTCATTTATTGATCTTTTAATATTTGCTCAACTCACCCAAATGATACCTGTGTATGGTCTTATTTTGGTCATTTCTTTCTTCTAGTATTAAGAAAATCTTGACATCGACATTGGATAAGCTGCCACAGAAAATAGTCATGTGCCAAGAATGATCTGGACGCATTACATGCTGATAATACTTCGATATATTGAAATGTTGAATGAGTGAAACAGGCACTGCTGTTGTAACAAATGAGCATCGGCCAACGTTCCAAGCAATGTCAGCATTGGTTTTATTATCTTCATCAATGGAAGAATGTGCAATCTTTTCTGTCCATCTATAATCACTCTGTTGTTGGACAAGTGAAGCATTGATTGACATAAAACCAACGTTACTGTGATGTCGAGATGGCATCACTATCCAACGATTATGAAGTATCCGAGTTAGACGCGTCGAAGAGCAGGATTGTTCTTCTTCAGCATTACCATTAGTCAGAAAATTCGGATGACGACCAAATGTACCATTTGGCAAAATAGTCAAATAGAAGCTATTAGCACAATGAAGTTGATTATCATCAAGATTTGAACGACGTAAATCACTCCAGACAAAATTCACACGATTCGTCGATGAAAGAGTAAAATCAGCATTTCTTAGTGCTGCTTTTTGAAATGAAACATCATCGAGTCTAGCACGTCTAAAAGACGCTCCCATCATTGTACATCCACTAAAATTTGCTCCATTGAGATATCTTTCATCAAAAGAAGCATTCACCAATGATGCACCACTAAGTGAAATTCCAGATAAACTTGCCTGTTGTATACTGTTGAAAACTGAAGTACTCAAATCGATACCATCTAAATAGGCATTCGTCATATCAATAGGATTTTTTCCGACAATAATAGCACCAGATTCATAAAGAAATTGAATAAGCCATGCTTTACGTTCAGTATCTAATTGACGACAAGCAGTTAATGTTTTTGCTCGAACAATAGTTGCAACAAGTGGATCGACGCTTTTGGAGGAAAAATTCGATGATATCAAGATTTCAGATATTTCTTTGATATAAGTAGCCAATATAGCATCCCAACGAAGTTTATTAGCAATGAGCAAATCTTGTTCGCGCGTTCTATTAGCAATAAAACGATCTTTATCTCGATTTGCTTCGGATATAGAATAATCTTGTGCTCGTTCCTCACTTGCAATATAAAGTTGAACAACCGATACCGTAAATGTCAACAAACCAATCATAAAAGGAATCAGAATCGATGAGCAAATTCTGATCATTCCACGACGGCCAACGCCAGAACGTTTGTTATAATAGCTCATACCATTACTTGTATTATCATCATCCATGCTTAAGTGGAATAATTATTTCTCAGAGTATTTGAGAAGAACTAATAAGATATGTATAACAAGGACATGTCCGATTGTCGCACACACAACAAAGATAAAAGGAAGAAAGAAATGTATTGACAGCATTATCTTCTTGTTATGCATATTTGTTTCTTCTATCTATTCTGTTACAATAACAGATGAGAGAAGTATTTTTGTTTGTTTAATTCTTTCTTCATCTTATCTCTTTCGCTCCATTTTTATTCTTCTCCATCATCAGATATTACTGCTTAAAAAGTTATGATAATGATACTTGCTTTGCACTGTTAACATCATTTTAGAGAGTCAATAAAAGTCAATGTAAAAATAAAAAGTATCGTTGCTTATTTATTGTTGTTATACTTTCAGAAGCATTCTAGTTTCTTGCTATTTTTCTTTGACGCTATTGAATTATGTGTAGTAGAGATATTACTTTCAAGAACAATGATATATTTATTCTATTGTTAGCGGAAGAGAAACGATTATGCTTGCGAATTAACGTTATTAGTGAAAGAAAAAGTCTTGTAAAATCTAATAATATTATGACAGCAATGCATGTCATTATTTTTCAATATCAATGCGTGTTCAAACAATTGATTTTGACCGTCCATCATTACTACTCCTTCATTTGAGGATAACTCATTTTGAATGAAGATTGGTTGCCAACGAAGTTTTAACTCAACAATGGCTCTTCTTGATTCTTATACATTGTCTTAGAAATCAATCAATTGATGAACATACAAGTACCAGTTGTACCTTTCACATGTTTTCAATTTGACATAGGCACAAGAAATTTGCCGTTCATGTTTCGTGATTAAGGGTATAAAATCAAATTCTTACTACTCTTGAAAGATTGAAAATCGAAACTTTGAACTTTTGATATTAATAAAACTGCAAAAAGAAGCTCGATGTTATTTGAAAAATGATTTGATTCCAATCGTTCTCAAATAAGTTCGGGTATCGAGATTCACAACATAGTTATTAGGATATTTACTATATAGTCCAGCATGTGGATATTATAACATCTTTGGAATTCTGTCAATAGAACGATGTTAGTTGTTTTATCCTATCGTTATCTGACATAATTATGTTGATAATTTTTTAATTAGATTAAACGAATTGATATCATTGTCATTCGATGGAAACTAGCGTCCTCTCTATATTTAAAATTATCAAATTTATCCTTAATTAATTTTCTTGTCTAATATAGTAATATTAATGGAAAATTAATAAATAATATAAACTTATTTTTAAATTAAAATGTTGTAAAAAAACAAAAATTTTAATTTTTCATAATCATTTCAACCAATAAAAATGATTCGAAAAGCAAAAAAATACGTCATTTCTTGCTTCACTTCTAATATTCATTTATTAATCTATAATAATTTGACTGTATTCTAATAATTATCGATTGATGTTAGTTGAATAATTTAAACAACATTTTCCATAAATTCATCCAATGAAAAAACACAACTGCATTGACAAGAACTTTTGTATAATCTTTCAAAAAAAAGATCTTGTATTTTATTTAGCATAATGGTATTATACCAGATACACTTTCTTGACAACAAAATGTGTTAAGACCATAAATTGTTGACTAAATTTATCTTCAATTTTTTTTCAGTCTATATATTTCGATTTGGATGATTACAATATTGCTAAAGTTCAAGGTGCATTAGCAGCAAATAAATTTGATTCAACAACAACACTAAATAATAATAATAGAGAAACAAGAACCGTAATGATACTCGACAATATCATAGGACATCAAAATTTCAACATCTAAAACAGTTATGCCAAGAATATTATCATATGCTGCTACAATAACACCAACATCAGCATAATAGATTTAAAATAAAATATCTCAGCGAACAAAAATAAAAGCAAAAAGTCATCATTATATTTTTTTTCTTTTCATATTTTCTTTCAATCAATTCATTTTTTCATAGAGTCATCAACTTCTTTTGTTTTTTTTGTCTTTCTAGAATAAAAAACAACAAAGAATAATTTATTCATCATGGGAAAATTTGATGTTTCACTTATTCGATATTTAACTGCAGAAGATTATCGAGTTTTAACAGCGGTAAATTTTTATTTATGTTATTAAATTCTTAGAAAAATTCATAAAAATTTTATTCTTTTGACATACATCATATTTTTTCAATGAACTTTTCAGATATTTCTTCGACATTTTATAATTACAGTTGACTAGTTTTTGTATTCATGATCAGTACAGAAAAGAAAATTTCAGTATTGTGAATGATGCATATTGAAAAATATTTTTGCATTCTGTTAAGAAATCGTTATATTTCTAATAATTCTAATTTATATTTTCTATGAAACTAACAAGAAACGATTGTGAATTGTTTCAAGCATATTTTTATAGACGTATCTGATGTTTGAAGAAGAAGAGATTTCATGCATTGCATTATTAAGTCATCTTGACATGTTTACCAGTAATATAAGATTGACTATTTATGTAATTGTAGATTGAACATTGTCAGTTGTAGAAGAATACAAAACATCAAGTACTGTTTGAATAGATAATTAGATGTTGCTAGTAATATTCTTTTATTTATCATAAGTTAGAAATCCCATTCTAAAACTACAATATTATCTCTAAAACATTTAAGTATTTTGAACAATTTTTTTTTAATAAGAAAGATAAACGAAAGCTTCTATTGAAATAAATATTCTATTTATCCCAGTAACAAATAAAATATGATAATATTTTTTGAATTTTATAAACATGCACAAATAATTACTTATTATTATACTATATATAAAGAAGAAAAAAATAATAACTCATGTTTTAATAGTTTATTATTTAAAATTTTGACATAAAATATATGATACATTTAGATTGAAATGGGTATGCGTAATCATGAATTAGTACCATTACAATTAATAGCTGTCATAGCATCACTTAAACATGGTGGTTGTCATAAAGTTTTACGTGAATTAGTTCGTTATAAATTAGTTGCATATGATGCAACAGCAAGAAGAAAATCTTCGAATAATGAAGGTTATCGTTTAACAAATCTTGGTTATGATTATTTAGCATTAAAAGCTCTTTCTTCAAGAGATGCTATCTATTCTGTTGGAAATCAAATTGGTGTTGGAAAAGAATCAGGTTTGACAAAAAAAAACAAAAAGACGTTTTCTTTTCTTTTTTATTATTATCAATTGATTTTTGTATTTTATTTTGAAGATGTTTATATTGTTGCAAATGAAAATGATGAACAAATGATTTTAAAATTACATCGGTAAAGGAAAAGAAATTTTTAAAGAAAATTGTTTTTTTTAATATTTTTAATATTGTTTTTATTTAGTTTAGGTCGAACATGTTTTCGACAATTAAAAAATAAACGTGATTATCTTAAACATAGACAAGGCTATAGTTGGTTATATCTTGCACGACTTGCTGCACTCAAAGAATTTGCTTTTATCAAGGTAGATTTTTCTATATGATTAATTTGTTTCAATAATTTTTTTTTTTCAAGACTCTATATGAACATAAATTTCCTGTACCAAAACCAATTGATTTGAATCGACATTGTGTTGTTATGGAATTAATTGATGGTTATCCATTGTTAGTAAATTATTTATTTATTTATTTTTTATTATATCTAATAGTAATTTGTTATATTTGATAGATGTAATATAAAAGATATCGATAAACCAGGAAAAATTTATGATGAATTAATGTCAATTATAGTTCGTCTTGCATCTTATGGACTTATTCATTCAGATTTTAATGAATTTAATTTAATAATAAATGATAATGGTCGTATAACAATGATTGATTTTCCACAAATGGTTTCAATATCACATATAAATGCTGAATATTATTTTGATCGTGATGTTCAATGTATTCGAGATTTTTTTCGACGTCGATTTCATTTTGAAAGTGATCTTTATCCAAAATTTGCTGATATTAAGTAAGATTAATCATTATTCTTTTTTTTTAAAAAAAAAAAAACTATTTTTCTTAGACGTTTACATTCGCTTGATAATGATGTAAGAGCAAGTGGATTTTCAAAAGAATTAGAAAAACAATTTGAAGAAGTAATATTTCATTTATTATTATTTTTTTGTTTTAAGATCGATTCAAAATTAACGTAGTAGTATAATTACAAAAGTAATTGAGAAAATTTTGTTAATTTCAACATGAGAATTTTCTTAGAATACGATAGCAGATTTAACTTTAGCGAAAGTTTTCACTGTCTAATGAGAGAATCCATCCGAATAATAATCTCCATTTGAACTTATAGTTTAGATAAAAATCTTGAAACGATTCGTGTCGTTAGATTTTTCTTCTTCAGTTTCAGCCTATTGCAGAATATCATGAGACAAATTGCAACCTGAAATTTTGGCTCAAACTAATGATTTCTTCATCAAATATCATATGCACAAAAAAACTGAGCTATGTTGGAAGCTCTTATATGAAATCCATAAGAACTGTTGTTGAGGAGAATTTACGATCGAAAACTTCTTGTTGCAATTTTTTGTCGTGATATTTTTTATTCATATTATGAAGCTTGTCTATGAGCAATTAATTTCGATACAAAATGAAATTACATCAGCATTTATAGATTTAATATACGCAGGAAATAATATTTACTTAATCTATGAACGTTTACCGAATACTTGTTTATTTATTTTTTTTTGGAAAGATAGAATTTTGTCTTTGTCATCGTTTTTATCATTCTAATTACTACCTAGACTATGTTAGTAGCCTAAATATGAACGAATCAGACTCGATTCTCGCAATCGATATCTACCTAATTAATCTTGTTTATGTCTACTTTGGTATTCAATAAAGAGAATATTAACAGCTAAATGGATTGCAGTGAAGTAACAAGACCTTAGACAGTGTTAGAGAACAATTTTAAACACTATAGTGAGCAAATAGTTGCCACGCCAAGTACTAAACTCAATCGTTTATTTTGGTAATATTCATTATTTCGATACATACATGTAGATTATTCATATACATATTTATTAAAAATTATATCATTTCATCTTATTTAGGTATCAGAAACAATTGGTCTCAGGCAAGATGTGGATAAGGATAACCATTCAGTTGATGAAGAAAATGATGACGATGATGATGATGATGATGATGATGATGAAGAAATAGACGAAGAACCGACATCATCTCTTCCCGAAAATGATGAAATGAGTAAATTAACACAAATTATTGATGGTAACCATCTTTTAGCATCTCCTATTCTTGATGAATTCGATGAAAACGAAAATCATCGATTTAAACCATTTCAAGATGATAATAAACAAGAATTAGAAGAAACTAAAGATGATGATGACAATCAATCAGTAGTATCAACATCACAAAAATTATCTGAATTATCAATAGATAAAGACTATGTACGAGCAAAAGTAAAACAAACATTAAAGAAAAAATTAAAACAACAACATCGTCGTCTATGTACTAAAGGTGAAGCAGCTTTAGTTACAGCACAACGACGTGATCATCGTGAAACTATTCAATTACATCTTGAATAGTTAAATCTTTTGTTTTCAAATAAATATAAACGAAAAGAAAATCTTTACCATTGATGATAAAAAATTTCTAACCGAATCTATATCGAACAAAGAATCACAATGATAAAGTTCTTATAATCTAAGAACTATGTAAATAATGATCTACTATTGTTGTTGATCAATAAGATAATGGTAACAATTCAAATAAATAAGTTCGATGAAGATCAAAAATAAGATGATACTCGAAAATCAAATAGGAATTTTAGTTGAAAGATTAATCTAATAGTTATATCACATAGAGATTATTCGTTTAATTATAGATTTTGGCCTCGATCCCACGCACTATTTCATACAGATAATACACTTATTATGATAAGTATTTAAATAAAATGATTTTGATTGTTTAAATGTTTTTTCAAAATATTCATTCAAAATCAAGTTTCATGCATCTGTATAATATTGATAAAAATACTCAATAATTTTCCCATTACTTATTATTATTATCCTAGAACTTTTACTCTCAAGATATATATTTTTCACGTCGGATATAAACTATTTGGATAGCAATGGCATAGGCTCATGAGATTATCTAATTCAGCATATCATAAAGTTGATACGACAAAATATAAAAACCTTTGTTTGAAGTCAGTTACAATGCTTTACAATGTAAAAACTGTGTTATATAAATCTATCTTAGTTTATTCGAGGAAGAAAGGTTTATAGACATAGCGAATGAGATTCTACATAAGATTAAGAATAGCTGCATACGATAATCTTCAACATTCAATTGAGGTACTAATATCTCAACTAGAGCCGTTTTTTTCTATGTGAGTAAACAAAACTAAGCTTGAATTTTAGCTGCATTGAAAAAACGAATTTTCTAATCTTGCACAACAAGATATATCTTTATCTCACAGAGCAATTGGAGGGACATAAAGAAAACTCTTTTCATGTTATCTCTTGGTTGTTAACGTACTACCTCGCTATTCTTATAAAATAAAGAGAAAGAAAGGAAAAGAAAATGATAAAATGTGAGTGCAAATGGCTACACGATGACAAATACAATTAAAATTGTCAAATCGACGGACAAACATGTACTCACAACATGGGTTATGTACTCATATTGTTAATACTCTTTGTCGTCATATATGCACTTGGGTATTTGATTTATAAAAGTTATTTCTATTGTCCACCAATTGAGCAAAAGCAATTAAGAAATAAATGTGTCATAATAACTGGAGTATCACGTGGCATAGGTGAAGAATTAGTCTATGAATATGCACGTTACAATTGTCGTCTTATATTGGCTGCACGTAGTATTGATATACTAAAAAATCAAGTTGCTCAAAAATGTCTTTCATTAGGTGCAACACAAGTTGAATGTATTCAATTTAATGCATCAACAGAACAAGCATGTATTGAACTTATTAAAAAAACAATTGAATATTCTTGTACTTAATCATACTACAACACATTATGAACCATTTTTTAAAAGTGATATTAAAACAAATATTGAAAATATGAAAAAGCTATTTGATGTAAATTTTTTTTGGATATTTTCAAACGAGTAAGAAAAACAAAAGCAAATGTTGATTATTTTCAAATTTTATGTTTTTTTTTATTTTCTATTTTAAAGCGATGGCAACTCTTCCTTATTTAACTCAAAATGGAACATATGAACAACCATCTCAAATCATTGCAGTATCATCATTAGCGGGTAGTTATCCGTTACCTCAAACAACTATTTATGGTAAGCTAGTATTTTAATATGTAGTCTCATGAATAATATGCCTGTTTAATTAAGGTACAACAAAACATGCTATTCAAAATTTCTTTTTGAATCTTACTCGTGAACTTCGTATCTCTAAACCGTATCAAAATCGTGTTACAACAAGTGTAGCTATTCTTGGATTAATTGCTACTGAACAAGCACTTACTGCAACTGACAAAAGTCTTCATTTTTTACCAGCTGATGTACGTAAAACTGCTCAAGCAATTATAGCTGCTGGTATTTATGGACAAACTCGTTTATTTTATCCATATCGTTTTGCAGTCATTCCATCACTTTATTATATATTTTCTCCTTTATTCAAATTTGTGACTCGTTTAGGCAACTGATTGTCATCATTTATCAAAAGAATAAAAAAAAGGAAAAAGCAAACAAACCAATGATATTTTGATTTATCTGATTCGAGCTTTTTTCAAAACTAACAATCATATGGGGTCGATTCATGATAATTGTATGAGTATATAAATTTTTCAACATGTTGAAAAATTTCAAATCTAAAAGTATTTAATAAAAACAGAATCATATTTTATTGTGTTTATCCAAACTTGTAAGACAGAATATGTTCTTCAAGAACCTGTAAAAATAACTTTTCAACAATAATATTTAAAGCATTCTCACATAAATATGAACTAGAAAAATGCTTTTGTGAATCTGATACTCGTTCATCCCAATCACCCGTTACAAAAACAGTGTAGAAATAGCTGAATGTGAAAGAATAGTAATAGTAAGATCATATTGCGTTTGTTCAATAATATGTTCGATGATTCGGGTGTGGATATGAGTACCTATCTGCTCTTGATCCTGGTTGATCTCCATACCCAATTTTTTAGTTTGAATAAATGAAGTTTGAAAACTCTTAAGAAATCTGGCTCCTGCTGTTTTTATTATGGATGTTGCTCGTAATGTTTCGTCAATATTTACTAAAGTTATCTGATTGTATCTGAAATACCAACTAAATGATTTTGTAGAGAAGACTTCCCTTTATAAAACCTACTGTATCACATATCTTTACAATACGCTCCTTTTTGAGTTATGACAAGCGACATTTTATGCATGTATTATGGTCTTTGATGGGTGAATATGACATATCGACTAGTTATTTATTTTAATAAGGGATTGTGTGTGGGGTGTAATGGGCAGTTGTGTTTGTAGTTACAAGTGAATCCAAGACCTACAGTCAATCTTTAGAACAAAAAGCTCTTAGATAAAAAAAATATTTTTATGTTTTTATTTCATTTATTTTCGTAATTTAGCTTTTAATCTTATTAAAACTAAATAGATATCAAAAAAATAATCTTTATATCATCTTTGTTCAGTAGAAAACGATAAAAAACAAAATAGTATTCCCATCGACATTGGTATTTGTTTGTTGATCTTAAATGTAGATTCATTAAGGTCATATCAAAGTTCTTGAAGAAGAACGTCATAGAATTCCTATGAAAAAGGTTTTCAAATTGCAACAATATTTCATTCACATACTTAGGAAATCATCTGCACCAACAATAACGCCTCGTATCAAAGAATCAGGTATAATAGTATTTGTTTGAAAAATATGTTTATCATATGTCAAGAAACTAAACTGCTAATTCTTCTTCGTTTTACAACATATTTGTTACAGGTTTTAAGATTATTCTTCGTTTTTTTCGATTGTTTATATACATATAAGACCTCATCGTTATTGAACAATTCACTCATTATGCTAATTTCATTAAAATTTAAAAATTAAAAGACTCGAAATATAAAATAACCCTTGTTATATTCGCCATCACTAACTAATAAGAATATGTTTTACAGTGATTCAATAGCGAGATGATCTATTAATATTTCAGAAGTGTGTCCTAATAATCATATAAGCAATCGTCCTAAAGACATATCAGACTTGTACATTGGAAATGAGTCATGTCCAAGGTAACACGTTGAACTTTCATCTAAGGAAAAACGAGTCCTATCTATTGTGTTCCTATACATTTATCACTGATCTCTGAACTAGATATGGTAACATTAATATATCCACATGCTTTACTGGAATAGTCGACAGAGTATTTCATATATTTGACGTCGAAGTTTTTGTCTTTTAATTGTACAGTTGTGATTTCCAAATGAATATGTACATGATTCATCAAATTAATGAAGTGTCTCTGTCTTTTCCATTCGTCACAATAAACAAGACTTAATAGTCGAATAACATTACACAGAAAAGAAAAACAATTGACTCTTTTCATTGTTTCGAATGTTTTTTTATTCAACCATTGAATTAATTAAGATTAATTTGAATATTTTTTTGTAAGATATTAAACTATTAGCATTCAATTTCATTTTATCAGAATTTTCTAAACGACTCATTGTAAAAAAAAATAAATTTTAGTAATTGCCTGATGCAGCTTCGAAAGTTCATGATATTAATCAAGTCCAAGTTTGAATCACTATCATAATATGATTAAACGGTTTTAAAAATTGACAAAACCTGTTTGATTGTTATTTCATCGAAAATGAGTTATAAATACTTGTTTTTTTCTTTGCAAATAGTAACCTTTTTGTTGCTATGAATGATTTTAAAACACTTTCTAGGAGATTCGATGCAGAAAGGCATTTGGCTATGATCGATTGATGTAATGTAACACCACCTTCTTCTTTTTTATTGATGTTGATCTCTGTCTAAAAGACAATGTATACTTATTTAATGGTTTAATGCATTTAAGGAAATGACTTCTTCAAGAATATTCACATTTTCCCCCCACTTTTTAAACATATTCTACAATTTTTTGGCATTGATATAAGGACGCAAAAACGTTTTAGCAGACTCATCAAATGACGATTCACATTCATCAGCTGAATATTCCTGATTTAAACTCATATCAATGCCAGCTTTCATTGATACTGCTGAACCAGTAATAACTATATTTGTTTGTAACATTTGTAAAATTCGTGTCCCCGTTTCTTTTTTGTATTATAAAAGAACGAACCTTTCAACACATTATTCAGTGTTGTAAGTGAAGCAAAATATTGCTTGAAAATCTTTGGAGACACACACACAAAATTGCTTCCACGATCATATCCGATATATCATGAACTAATACTATTATTCTCAATGATTCAAAATATTTATAAAGTGCCTAAAAAATAATAAATATGTGAAACACTGCGGTAAGCAAAAGATCAGGAAAGTCGTATTCACATTTAATTCAGCCGATTTCGTCTTAAAATGAAACGGTCGGTAAAATAAATCAATTGATTCATAAAAATATTCCTCAGTTAGAAATGTAGCAGTGACTGTTAAATACGAAATTCTCTTGTAGCCATCCTTATCCGCAATTAAAATTATACGATCTGAAGTTGCGTTTTCACTGCGAAAAACACCACCACCATCATCATTTTCGTAATACTGATCCTAAGAAATACTTAGGACAATCCAAAAGTAGTGGCAGTAGCATTTCTATTCCTTATAACAAGCTTAAAGAAACTTTCTCTCTACATAGACTGATAGAGGAAAGAATGCTCTATTTGTCTATGCTATTTGATCAAACTTCAATCAATACCAAAATAATAAAATTTCGATAATATCTGTTTTCTTCGCATGTGTCACGATTACAGGATTTACTAGTGTGTGGTTTTTGAATAACTTTTGAAGAATACATCATAGAGAAGTGCAGTTTTCGCCGCTGGAAAGAGGAGTTGAAAATGCACCGACTCATACATTTAAGGGCTTTTCTAATATTGACTTCTGAAGTATTTTGATTCAATAATTCTAACTGCCATAAAAATGTTTTCTTTTTATGAAAAAAAAGAACAAACATACCAAGTGAGTTTTGTTTTACGAACTTTGCCAGAAAATCATATTAGAGGCTCGACTACAATTCATATTATTCATCTGAACCTTCCGCCCTTTGTAGATTTTCCATTAGTGGTTTGAGTTTATACTTGATAATTGAAAATTCACTGTAAACAACTCACTAGATAAGGTTTGTTCTTAAAAAGATCGATTGAAAACCTGGCAAAAAACAGAGCAGCAAACCCTTCAATATATGATTCGATGCGTCTTCATCGCCTTTTTCGAATGGTGAAAACTACAGTTCTCTACCTTGTTTTTATCAAAAGTTATTTGAAAACTACTCATTCATATTTTTTAAAATGAGTAATATTATAACCGTGACGCATGCGAAGAAAACAGATATTATCGAAACTTTATTATTTTGGTAGTGGTTGAAATTTGATCAAATAGCATAGACAAATAGAACATTCTTTCCTCTATCAGTTTATGTAAAGAGAAAGTTTCTTTAAGGTTGTTATAAGGAATAGAAGTGCCACTGTCATTACTTTTGTATAGTCCTAAGTATATAAGAGAGAGTCCACCACAGGATCGAGAAACCCCATACTCCCAAAAAAAAATTTTTTTTTTACGGATTAAAAACTTTTTGTTTTAGGCTGGTTTTCTAGCATTTTTATTGTCCCATTCGATGCACGATCCAAATTTCTGGGATCAACTAACCTTGAGAGATAATTTCTCAAAATACTTATTTTTGCTTGATGACTACGTAGTATCAATTCTGATTTAATCAGTGTTTAGTCATCAGTATGGTCCTCATAACTTTTTTTGTAATATGATCAATCGAGCTAATATTTTGGGTATAGTAGTTTCACCTCATGGGCTATCAATTCCATAAATAAAATGAGGGGGTCAAAATTTTCGGGAGTATGGGTCCTTTAAAAATTCCTCGATGGTCTCATGGACGCCCTCATAAAGAGACAAACATAAATACAAGATATATATATATATATATTGATGACTTAGGTGTGAATGGGGGTGTGAAATGTAGGGAGTGAATGTGAATGCGAACTTGTGTGTGATGCCGAAGATAAAGTTACTCCTACACTCCCACCCTTAAGGAGGTGAAAAAATATTGGGAAGAGGATGGAACATTATATGCTGTTATCAATTCAAAAGGTTCTTACACAATTATAGTTGGAGCTGAAAGGATATAAAAATACAGAACTGCCACCGGTTTTATATTCATTCTTTTTTATATTTTTTTCATACAATAATCGAGTCATGACTCCAACAAACGTTTTGGCCATAGTAACGGTTTTGCTCTAAATCGATATATGACACATCCTTTTCTTTAGCTTTGTAGTTTTCTAGTCTCTTTTATTAGTAGCGCGTTGTTTGTCGTTTTGGTTGTTACTCCTTTCATGTCCTCTTTTGTTGCCTAATAAACAGATATCGTGATAGACAGAACTTGGTTAGGAGCTAACACCGCTGCATTAAGCTAAGAGCAAAACAAAGCAAGAAAAACGGTAAATAACGACATTTGCTTTTTCTTATCATAAAAAA